TCTTTGCAAAAAGAAATGACTTTCAGTCGATAAAGTTACAGGATTTAGCAAGTTTTAAACATGTGTTCATGTGTAAGTATGTTTATTTCTCTTGGCACACAATTTAAACCAGAACTTTTCTAGAGTCTTTTACCAAGTGTATCATGATAACTACTATATTTTCATGTGATCCATGGTTTTATAATACATATTTACTCAGAAAGTTAATTTCCTACGTGCTTGCGAGTGTTTGTTTACAAATGTTTTGACGTCATTGCATAGAAAAGTCTATAGACTAAATAGCGTTTTTGTATGTCTTCTAGGCAAAAAAAATACATTTTTTTCGGTCTGATAGAACAATTATTAACAATTTAAAACATAATTCCAAAAAGTGTCAACTAGCTTTTAACAACAGTTTATCCTTGTCATTCTCTATACAGAATGGAAAGGAGAGACTGATGTTAAATTTAGTTTTAAATTTAGAGAATCATGCCAGAATCGACACCCACCAGTGTCTGTATCTGATGGTAAATGTCTACCACAGCACGGTAAATGCTTCCAATGCTGCGACTTCTCCAAGAACTCTTTGTTCTATCTCCTGTTTTTAAAGAAATTGTATAACAAAATACTCGTTTTATTCGGTTTCACCTAACTATTTCATTTCACTAAGAAAAAAGATCTACGTACTTTTCATATGCAAAATTTACCAATTCTACGTAATTTTCTCATCGCCTTTTTCCTGAATGTACTCCACAAAGAAGTCACAAACAATTGTCTTTCGTTTTTTTTTACACATTTTCAATTTATAAAAACAATTTGTAACCTGTCTCATCTCTCTGTCTATTCTGCGTAGGTTCGCTCTCACCAATAGAAATAACTTCCTTTGCTCGAACTGACATAATTTACACGATTTTTTTAGTCTTATTTGAACATATTTTATACTTTATTTGTGAAACATATACATTTCTTTCAGTTAAACTATTATTCATTCCCATGAGGGCCGATTCGGCAGCGGCCAGAAGCGACGCGGCGAACACTTTCTCACTGCAATCAGAAAGAAGATGTCTTTTAAGTATATGAATAAATTTAAAAAATATTTGACACTGCTTTAAACGGCTCGGAAAACACCGGTATACGCTTGTTACCTGGACCTGTCGAAGGCATTCGATTTGGTATCATATAATATACTTTGGCAAAAACTAAAATTAGGAACCAGCCTTTCTAATGAATATAGTGGTTCGAGAACAAAAGTATAATATATGTTTGTAGAAATACATATAAACAGCCATGGCTCAATAAAGATGCTTGTATTCCTAATACAAACATTTGCCCATACCGGAATTTGTACCCAGTATCTTGAGGTAGGCAACACCTTTAAAACCAGCATGGAACATTAGTTTCATGTTCAAGTTGTTATAGTTACTTTTAATTGGGTAAATAGGTCCCTTATTTTGGTCGCTCATCACAGGTTTACGTACCGGTAAGCATACAGGTAGATGCGTGATTAATAAATCAATTACTAGGTTTCCTCTGCGCAGCTACCACAGCGGAGGGTTCTAATATAGGAAAGCTTTAGACCTGATAACAGCCTCGGGGCTACAGGGTCAAGTATCTTAGCTCACTCGACGTCCCGACGCCGTTGAGTGTAGACGTACTCATACTAAGCGTCCGCGTCCGTACCGACCCCTTATAACTTCGCCCGCCCATTTCACTTGTTGCTTCTTTCGTGTTGTAGACGTTTCGCGCGCGCTCAAACTTAGTAAAGTTTCCTGTGCGACTTTTAATTGAATTCTCTTTGTAACATTTCCTAAGGGGTTGCGCGTTTCTCGAGAACTACTGAGAGCGAACTAAGGTAAGTTGCACTTATTTCTAATTTAACTTTCTCGGTATTTCTTGCATCTTGCGTTTTGATAAAATAGAAAAAATGTTTTGTCCATTTTAAATAATTATTAATTGTTTTTTATTCTTCTTATTTAACAATGTTATATTAGTTAGTGTAAATTTATTTTTTATCATACACAAAATGTTTCTGATAATTAATTATATATAAAATATTTTCGAGCTAAAACCTTATTAAGATTTTAGGGTTTCTTTTCATCTTTGATATTTTGGTCGATTCTAAATGTATTTCTATTTTTTCTTTATCGGGAATCGTTCAATACGTTGATGAGTTTTGCCTGATCAATGGGTCAAATAAGCGAATCATATAGATTTTTTTAAGATTAGACGTTTTAATTTGCGAAGTGTATCCCATTGAAATTGTAAAACCACAAATTTAGAAACTAGAAATTTATCTCATTTTCTGCCATTCGAATAAATTTTAGATCATGAATTTTAATAGTCACTTTTGTAATCTAAAAATTGCATAATTTGAGTCTTCATTATTCATTAAATGGGTATGAATAATACAAAATAACCAATTTAATATCACATAACAAAAGCTGTTACTAATAAATACCAATAGAAATTCAAAACTAAACCGTCTCGTTTCCCAAAACTGATTTAATGTATTTTACAACAATAAGTGAAAATTTTAACTGATAATTTTCAATGTTTTGGTTTACTTTCTTAAGGTTTGTATTATTTTTCCAACCGGTGCGCGGTGTTTTGATTTAGTTAAAATGTACATAATCAATCACTTTAGAACCTTCTCTGGCTGGAAATTAGTTTAGTACTTTCCAAAACTTTTCGGTCACAACGTTTTCATTTACTTATGTTGAAAACAAATAATATATAACTTATTTCAGTGTTAAAGTACATGTTTTGTGAACTCCGTTACACCGTAATTTTTAAAGGAGACATGTAATTGACCTTCCTATATAACTAAACTTGTAACCAATATGTAATTAAACGCTGTTGAATTTCTCGAAAAAAACAATCTCTAAATATTTGATCATAACGTTATTCACATCTCTATATGGCCGAATGACCAATTTTGTGTTTAATTTTATTCATAGTTTAATTTGAATGTAAGTTTAACAACCGAGTTTGAGAAGTTAAGAATTAGAATTTTCCGTTTTCGGCATGCCCGCCGAAAGTACATACTTAGAAAGCTTTGGTTACGCATAAATTATAATGTTGACAGCTAAATATTTAAAATATTTTAAAGATAAAAAATATTTTAAAGGTCGCTTTAGCGACCAACTTCATGCTGTTACTTTTGTGTTTACCGCACATTAAGAAAATCTACCAACAAAATAGAAATAGAATCTCTATTTAGTGGGTGCTAACGACTGCATTGTGAAGGCCTATCAAAAGTATTTATTAATCTGGAACAACGGAACCAAAGCGCGATTCAGGAGACTACAGCGCCATCTCTTGACCATTGGTGTAGTAGAACCAAAAACCACATCTTTATTTTTTATAATAAAGTAACAGTTATAGGTATTCATATTTATAATATCAAAAGTATTTATTAATCTGGAACAACGGAACCAAAGCGCGATTCAGGAGACTACAGCGCCATCTCTTGACCATTGGTGTAGTAGAACCAAAAACCACATCTTTATTTTTTGTAATAAAGTAACAGTTATAGGTATTCATATCTTTATATATATAATTCTTCTGTGAGTGTGTATGTCACTGAACTTCTCTTAAGCGACTGGACCGATTTTGATGAAATTTTTTGTGTGTGTTCAAGGGGATCTCAGAATGGTTTAGATTCACAATTTTGTCCGCTGGACAACCCCTATTTTTTTAGGGCGGTACGAAGTTCGCTGGGTCACCTAGTTTATAATATTTATCCACATGTTTCTAGTTTGTATATTCGGAATACGTGTTTGAGTTTCATACAAGTGCAAATCACATATGTTCTAATAAATTATATTCAGTAGCGATTTTAATTAAATATTTTGATTATTTATTTATTTTTTCAAATTAAAACTGAACTTTATTGACTGTGTCCTTTTCCAGACTTTTTATTAATTTATTGTAATTAATTATTTGCATACAATTAAAAACTAATTTTAAACGATGCCAAAGAAGGATAACTTCTCACGCGCCTACATAAGTACACGCACCCATTTTTTTATATACCTATCTACTAGTACGTAATTTGTTTCTAATATTTAGGTATTTCGGTTTTTCCATCGGGCAAAATATCTGGAATAATATATAAATAAGTGGTTAGGATGAAAAAAGAGACAAACGAGTAATCTACCTACACTCGCGTTAAAAACAAAACTACATAAAATACTGTAGGCGGGCGGCCCTACCGCGTGCTAACTCAGCGCTCGGCCGTAGGCATTTATTTTCAAGGACAGGGCGGGGTCACAATACTGTATAGATAATATTACCGTGGTAATGGTATATATATATGATTTGCTCGAGCGTCGTTGGGTTCGGTTTGGTCGTATTGGATTTTGAAGGTTAGATGCTAAGAAGGAATAAAGAGTTATTATATAATGTATACCTTTTGACTGGTGGAGGGAGAGAGTACAGGTTTTCAAAAATGTTTAAAAAAAACAGTCACATAGAAATACTCGACTGCGCAGATATTAATAGTGTATGCGCCCCACGTGTCTCAGATATCAGAAAAATATTAACAACAATTTGCATGGTGGGGCTGGCCGTACGAGGGGGTAGAAAAAAGGAATTAATTAAATTATTCGAGCGCGTTAGCCGTTGATACGGGATATTATGTGATCCCTCCAGTAGCTTCCATTCAAAAGACTGACGATTTGGACGCGATCATAAATTATGGCCGCTTTATGGAAATGCAAAAAAAGTAACCTTAAAATACCCGAGCGCGTTACTGTACAGTCGCTTCATCTTGATGTACTTAACGTAATGTGAAGGCATTTCCTTAATCTGACGGCCAAGGCCACGGCCAGAAAATAAATATTTTACTTCATATATTTTATTAAAACATTTGAATGTAATAAATACAATATAAAATATATATATGTATACAGGTAATAATATCAGTTCGGCCGGTGTGCTTGATCGCGACGGATGTACCTCCTCTTACTCGGCTACATCATCTTGTTAAAATCAGTGTTTCTCAAACATCAGAAGCTAAAATGTTTACCTGTGCCGGTTGTAACTCCGAAGCCCGGGACGACATTTTCAAAGATTTCGACATTGATTGCGCAGGTATAACAGAAACAGGTTACCGAAAACTTGGGGACCGGAAAGGAAATTGGAAGTGTCCTACCTGCAAAACCAACAACAACAATTCCAAACTCCATGTGCAGCCAGCTCCATCGTCTCCCACTCCCGTCAGCTTAGAGAGTATCATGCTTGAAATCAAAAAGCTGTCTCAGAATATGGCGTCGCTATCGGATCTACCTCAAGATATAAAGATCATAAAGGACGAAATCCAGGAACTAAAACTATCTCTGGAGTTCACCCAAGATTCTGTAAAGGTTTGCAATGATCAAATATCTGATATAGACAAAAGATTGAAGAATGTTGAAAGTAGCAAAGAGGACTCGCCTGTGTTGCATCAACGTATAGAATATCTAGAAAGTGCACTTAAGCAAAAAGACCAAATGGATCGTCTAAGTAACGTGGAAGTGAAAGGAGTTCCATTTAAAGATTCATAAAACCTATATGAAATAATAGCCAAGATAGGATTTACCGTTGATTGCAAAATCTAAAAAAGCAACATTAATTATATATTTAGAGTGCCAAGCCGTAACAACAGCAAAAGTAAGAATATCATTGCATCTTTTAACAACAGATATATCAAAGAAAATTTTATATCCTGTGCTAGAGCCAAACGCAATTTCTCGGCAACAGACTTGGGATTCACATGTGACTCAAAAGTTTACGTTAATGATCATTTAAATTTAGACAATAAAATGCTTTTGAATAAAACGAAAGAGTTTGCCACAGAACGTAGCTATAAATACGTATGGGTCCGAAGTTGGAAGATTTTTTTAAGGAAGAATACTTCTTCTCCGATTATCATTACAAGTTCCGAGGCAGACCTACACAAGATGAAATAATCTTCTCAAGTTTGTTGGAGCAATATATCAAGAGTATTATGCAAACGAACTCTTGAGAGCCAGTGGCGCGGACTCCACCGCCGATCACGTTCCAGGCCGCGTGACTGCATGCGACGCGGCGCACAGCTCGGCTCGATCCAGCTTCACTGCACGCCTCGCCCGCCACCCGCTTCATACGCGCACTTCTTATCACTTCGCATTGCATCAAAATATTATTATTAATTTTTTGCTTAACCTATTTTTTATCTTTTCGGTGCTTGATTGGCTGTCGAGTTTAAAAAAAATACGTTGTGAGTGCCCTAATTGTGAAACTATAGTGATTTTATTTGTTTTAGATTATCCAATTCAAACAAAACATTCAATTTATCTTTATAAAATAAGTTTTTAAATTTTATTTTAAATTTCATTCGAGGTTTATATTTATTTGTATATTTAACTATAACTACTGTTAAAAATGGCATCACTTAGTGTTTTCTACCAAAATGTGAGGGGATTGCGTACGAAGGTTAATATTTTTTATAGAAATATCCTTCTTAGCTCTTATGACGTGGTGGCACTGACCGAGACATGACTGACGGACAGTATTTTTGGTAGCGAATTATTCGACAGTAGATACATAGTATATAGACGAGATAGGAACTACTCTATAACCGGGCAATCGTTGGGTGGTGGTGTACTTATTGCGATTAAACGCGAACTTGCTGTGGAGACTCGTGCCGAGTGGAACTCGTCAGCTGAAGATCTATGGGTATCAATAGATACCCAAATCAATTTAACGCATCAATTTAATAATGAGCTTAACTATACCGACAGAATTCTTGATTTAATATTTAGTAACTATGATCTTATTCAAGTCAAACGTGTCGATCCGTTAGTACCGGCCGATCTGTATCACCCTGCACTCCTAGTGATATTATGTATAAATAAAAATAACATTATCACTGGAGCACCAGAGACCTCTAAAGCCAGCAGCACGATCTATACATCTGTCCTACAAAGGGAATTACAGGTCTATTGCCGAAAATATTAATAAAATTAACTTTGAAACCTTCTTTTCAATGTTATCGCTCGACCCATGCATAGACAAATTTTATGCACTGTTACACAATTTAATAGATAAATTTATTCCTATTATTATAGGCCCCCTGAGTCATAATTATCCGCAATGGTATAATAGTACATTAATAAAATTCATAAAAGAAAAAAATAAATTTCATAAAAAAAATCCCAAATATAATAATCACTCTGACTATATATCATTCTCTCTGTTACGAAAAAGGGCTAAATTATTAAAAGAATTGTGTTACAATAAATATTTAAAATCTATAGAAATTAACATAGGAAAGAATCCTAAGGCATTTTGGTCTTATGTAAAAAATAAAAGGGGAAGTAATATCCTTCCATCCACTATGTGCTTAGATAATAATTCCTCTAGTGATGGCTATGAGATTTGCAATCTTTTTGCTAAGTACTTTTACTCCACCTTCCAACAAACTAGCTCTGACACCAATAATGCACCTCCTACGCCTACCACAAGTGAAGGAGCTGACTTAAATGATATACATATAAATAATTATGCTCTTCTTAATATTTTAAAGACTTTAGACCCTGAAAAAACTGCAGGGCCAGATAAGATCCCCCCGATATTTATTATTAGACTCGCCAACAGCCTTGTAACCCCATTAGCCTATCTCTTCAACTTTTCTCTTTCGTCTGGACAAGTACCAAATCTCTGGAAATCGATATTTGTTACGCCTATCCACAAAAAAGGCCCCAAACATCTAATTAAAAAACTATAGACCAATCTCCAAATTGTGTGTTTTCGCGAAAGTCCTTGAAAAAATTGTCTATTCTCAAGTATACTCTGCTATAAGACAAAGACTTAGTGATTCGCAGCATAGCTTTTTAAAAGGTCGATATACTACCACCAATCTCTTGCTTTGTGAAAACTATATTTCCGAACACATGGCAGCGGGCTATCAAGTGGATGTCGTGTATACCGATTATAGCAAATGTTTCGATAGGATCGACAATGTCGTACTTTTACAAAAGTTGCAAATGATTGGTATACGCGGTAACCTGTTCGGCTCATATGTTGAGAATCGGAGTCAAATCGTTGTTCTCAATGGTTATCAGAATCACTTTTGGGTCCCTTGTTATTTACGATATTTACGAACGATATAATATCTTCTAATTTTTTTCACAGTAAAATATTTCTTTATGCGGATGATATGAAAATTTTATGCCCAATCAAATCAATCTCAGATTGTAATCGATTGCAAGAAGACCTTAACAGGTTTCAATCTTATTGCATTAAAAAGAAATTAAACCTTAATATTTCAAAATTTTTCGTCTGTTCGTTTTCAAGAAAACCTAAAGTCATTAAATTTAATTATAGTATTCAGAATAATATACTTACCAGGACTAACTATATGCGGGACCTTGGAGTGATTTTTGATTCTAAGCTTACATTTGAGAATCATATTGATTCAATAGTTTCAAAAGCCAGAAAAGCTCTAGGTTTTGTTATACGAATGTCGTCTGAATTTACAAACATTAAAACTGTAAAAATGCTGTATTGTGCTTTCGTGCGCAGCCATCTCGAATATGCCTCGCAAGTATGGAACCCTCAGTACCAGACTTACATTTCGAGGATCGAAGCTATACAAAAACGGTTTCTACGTCATATTCAATTTAAATGTAGGAAATTTCACCATGGTTACCTCAGTACATGTAAAGCATATCATACCACTTCAGAAACGCAGAGAAATGGCGGACATCTCCCTTTTATTGAAGACCGTTAATAGCAGCATCGATTGCCCTGAATTATTAAGCAAAATATTTATTAGTATCCCTGACAAAATCACTAGACACACTAAAACTCTTTATGTGCCGTTAGTCTCAACTAATTATCGTCAAAATTCTTTCACAATTAGAGCTCCTCACACTTTTAACCAATACTCATCAGGCCAGTTAGATGTTGATTTGTTTTCTGACAGCTTGAATTTATTTAAAAAAAAAATCAATAATATTTTCTTTGAGCCGAGTAATTAAACTATGTATTTTTATAATTTTTATTATTTTTAAAGCATGTAACTGCTTGATGTTTAAATCTAAAGAAAATATAACTAGAAAAAATTCCACGCGGACCAGGCAGCAGACGGGACTCGAACCCGCACCCTTCGCAATCCGGGCGAATGCACTGACCAATTATGCTACCGCGGCCCTCACGGACCGCGTCGAAATTCTTTCTAGCTATTCTTAAGCTGCAAGGCAGCGCCATCTCTTCGCATTATAGGTAAACCCACAATGTCAAATGAATACTTTTACAAGTATTAAACATTTGAAAGAAGAAATAGCAATTATAGTTATAATTTTTATTATTTTTAAAGCATGTAACTGCTTGATGTTTAAATCTAAAGAAAATATAACTAGAAAAAATTCCACGCGGACCAGGCAGCAGACGGGACTCGAACCCGCACCCTTCGCAATCCGGGCGAATGCACTGACCAATTATGCTACCGCGGCCCTCACGGACCGCGTCGAAATTCTTTCTAGCTATTCTTAAGCTGCAAGGCAGCGCCATCTCTTCGCATTATAGGTAAACCCACAATGTCAAATGAATACTTTTACAAGTATTAAACATTTGAAAGAAGAAATAGCAATTATAGTTATAATTTTTATTATTTTTAAAGCATGTAACTGCTTGATGTTTAAATACTTAATAAATACTACTAATACTTGTAAAAGTATTCATTTGACATTGTGGGTTTACCTATAATGCGAAGAGATGGCGCTGCCTTGCAGCTTAAGAATAGCTAGAAAGAATTTCGACGCGGTCCGTGAGGGCCGCGGTAGCATAATTGGTCAGTGCATTCGCCCGGATTGCGAAGGGTGCGGGTTCGAGTCCCGTCTGCTGCCTGGTCCGCGTGGAATTTTTTCTAGTTATATTTTCTTTAGATTTAAACATCAAGCAGTTACATGCTTTAAAAATAATAAAAATTATAACTATAATTGCTATTTCTTCTTTCAAATGTTTAATACTTGTAAAAGTATTCATTTGACATTGTGGGTTTACCTATAATGCGAAGAGATGGCGCTGCCTTGCAGCTTAAGAATAGCTAGAAAGAATTTCGACGCGGTCCGTGAGGGCCGCGGTAGCATAATTGGTCAGTGCATTCGCCCGGATTGCGAAGGGTGCGGGTTCGAGTCCCGTCTGCTGCCTGGTCCGCGTGGAATTTTTTCTAGTTATATTTTCTTTTTTTTTTTCTAGTTATATTTTCTTTATGTATTTTTATCTTTCTGTTTTTTTTAATTGCTTATAAGTATATATAGTATACATACCTACTTAATAATGCATTTAAGCATCATGTGCGCTTCAGTCCGACTTTTTTTAATTATTACTTTAACTATTCGCGGAAACTATTAATTGGCCTTAAACATAAATATTATGCAGAATAGCAAGTAAGAAAAACTAGCTGTAAGTTTCCCAAAAACTGTTAAAAATAAAAAAAATAAAATAAAATATCCTGTAGTAAAATAATATGGTATTTTAAAGTGAGAAAAAAAATTACGTACATTTTCTATCATCTTCA